AGTGCAAATACAGGACTACATCTATACATATCTGTCGTGTACAGATGTGGCAGCTACATGGTTGGATGCTCCTGAAGTTGTCTGGATTCTTCAGTATGACTATGTAGATGACCCCAAGGAATATGTAGATTGTGTGGGCAGGAAAGCCTGAGTGATACCGGGTGGTTGGGGAACCTAAACTGACCAAGGCCCTGCTGCCCAAATACTTCACCAAAATCTGTCTGGGTTCTTCACCCATGCATACAACTGCAAGACTGCTTAGACTCAAAGCACAACAACAAAGGGATTTATTTAACAAACAAGATGAGCAAGAGTTTCTGGGGCCAATAATGGCCATTTACTTAATCCAAAGTTGTGTCCAGTACAAAGACCTAAGTTATGGTGGTGTCTCCCTGCCACCGAGAATGCGCAGCTCCTCCCCTGAACAACAGGCCACATGTCTGAGATGGTGTCTTCCTGCCTCTGCCAACCTGGGACACAGGGCAGCCAGACTCCAGGCCAGGTTCCAACTCATGAAGACAGCAGAAGGCATACAGGAGATGCTCCCAGAGCTGCTGGCTGCTCCAGCACAGCACCAGAGGAGCGACATTTGGGACAGCAGCCACAGCCACCAAAATGACCTGACAAAAGGCCTCACACACTCAGCTAAGCTAGGCATCAGAGGTCCTCTGCAGCCCTCTCCAAGATCAGCCTGGTCCTGGGCCTCAAATCCACTGGCCCACAAAATGCTGAAGCAACTCCAAACCTGGAACTCAAACCTGAATCCTGGGGCCCAGACAAACAACAGCCTCCTTCCTTCCCCCTCTACTGTCTTTACTCCTCTCAGCCTTCTGCTTCCTCTCCAGCGTCACCCCTCCTCAAAATTGACACTATTTTTTTTAAGGATTTATTTATTTGTGCATGCAGAACCGGGGTACAGGCCAGAGGCTCATGGGCAGTGAGAGGTTTCACCAGAGACAGAGTGGGCAGCAGAACAGGCAGATCGACGAAGTACATTGCTGAGGGGAGCAGCGGGCAGGTCAGGAGAGGTCTGCCATGCCATGCGGTCACCTCTGGGGCAGACGGAAATCGAACTCATGCAGAAGTGGCTTTAGCTTCTCAGTGCTGTGCTTTAACCCGCTGCACCACCAGGGAGGGCCCTAAAATTGACACTTTTTAACATGACCCCTGAGTCTGTTTTGTCTTCACAGCAACCCCCCTCAGGGAGGGGCACCACCTGCAACAGTCCTTGGCCTCAGTCCCGATATCATTCCCCATTTTTCGTTTTATATCAGCATATCTATAGTGATATTGGACAAAATCTTTCCATTGGCATAATACAAGCAACGTGATACAACACAGTGGCACAGCTATTGGTATCATGAGGACTAAATGCAAGAGGGCATGCCTTGTTCACACTTCATCCTGAAGAATTGGGTTTCCTTCATTACTTAGAGCATGTCAAGGTTTTGTTAACCGAATTTGAATTGTTTTAGTCCAAAATTTCTGAGTTTGGTCTCAGTTTTAAAATTGATTGTAAAGAGGGATTCTCTGATGGCACAAGGGGATAAGTCTCATCACTATAAAGCTATCGGCCTCATGAGTTCAATCATGGTGTGGGTTCTATCCCTGACCCCAGGGGTGACCCACATGGTGCTTCAGACCTCTCCTGTCTCACCACTGCTCCCCTCAGCAGTGTATTTCAGTAGCTCTACCTGTTCTGCTATGCCCCTCACGCACCGTCACCTCTGACATACACTCCAGCTCTTATATGCATTAAAAAAAAATCTATAAAAAAATTGATTGACAAGAGCTACTTCCTTCTTATGTTAGCCCAGGAGTCAGAATAGCCACATATTAGAGTATGTGATTCTCATTCCCTGAAGCAGATCTTTAATGTTAAAACTTAGATTTGCTTCACATTGTTCTGTCATGAGATTTCAAGGTTTCTCTTTTTGTTGATTTGAACCAATGAAGGGAAGCAGAGGAAAAAGAGGAGGTGGATGTGGACTGGTTACTAGAAAGCCAAGAAAGTTGTGTAGCCTAAGATCATTAAACACATTAGCAAGAAGTCATCATACAGAGTCAGTTCTCTCACTGAAGATGCACTTTCCTTTCCTCTTAAATAGCTTTATTCTGAAGTGGTATTTTTCCTCCTTTCTCTAACACAAGCAATTTTGTACCTTTAGGATTTGGGACAATCTAACAAAATAATATTTGACTTAGGTTGCGAGCGCTGAGCAGTTATTTCCAGCAAATCTTTTATTTTTGGACATGAAAAAAAATTGTTTCTCTTGATTGCTCAAGAGCAGAGCAAGGGATCTCTATGGTCTTTGTTGTGATGATAGATCATTTTAAATTTAAATATTTTCCTCCAAAAACTTGTGATGATGTAATAGAGCTCTTCATGTACTTTTCTTTCCCAATATCCTGAGACGTCGGCAGTATACATGGGTAGGCCATCCTGGTGTATGAGGCAGATGCCCTCACCCACTGGACAGGTAGTGGTAGTACTAATATAGAAAATTGTCTTTTTAATATAATTCTTTGGTTTGTTTTTTTTTTGGACCTTATATTATTTTTCTCCCCTCCAGAAAATGCTGCAGAGTAGAAGGACAGAGAGTTTTTTGAAATAACTAAGAAGCACCTTAAGTTAAAGGTGGCATTGACTTTTCTTCTTTATGTGCACCTGAGTTTAAAGCAATGGGTCTGTCTTTAATTTTTTTTTTTTAAAGAGCTGGAGTATATTCATAAGGACTTCTGAGCCTGTATTTTTCTCTGAGGAATGCAAGGTCATTCTCTCATTTTCTCTATCTATGTACTTACTTTTGAATTTCCTAATCTATAATGTGTGACATCAAAAAAGAGAAAAAGAAAAACAAACAGCAAATAACTCTTTACATTCCCTGTTAGTCACTTCTGTTAGAGAAAGAGGCAAAATGGAGGCGGGTGTAACAGCACTGGCTGCCTATCTGTCTTCTTGATCAGAAGTAGCAATAAAGAACTAGAGAATAGATCCCAGAGAAGGATCCCAAGATCCTTTTTGTCCAATCTGGCTCCTGAAGCCTATGTGTAAGCTATTCCAGACCGAAGTGCACAATGGAGCAAAGTGCAAGGGAGGACTGGTCCCTACCTACTGTGCTCAGACCTGGAATTGGCCAGATAAACCACAGTTTATACACAGGTCTACTCCTGGAACCTTACGTATACCACAGAGTTCTAAAATAGCTATATAGGACCAATTCTGCCTGTGTAGTTATTGTCTAGAAGTGGGGCAGGGGACAGATTCCTAGTGCTTCCTACTCTGTAATCTGCCTTTAATCTTCTCTATCATCTGGCTTTCCAGCCCTCATTAAAAATTGTGTAGGTAATCTTTTTCCAACTTTTCTTTCTTAGCATTTTAGTTTCTAAACTAATTTACAATGATTTACTCTTGTCTCTGTAGGTTCATCTGGTTTTAAAATGCAAAGCTCACCATTATTTTTCTTCCTCAAACACAGCTTCTCCATTCTTAGACTTTCTATTTTAATTCATTTCTTAGTATTCTGGAACACATCTTTAAACAATTTATTTGACAAAGTGCTCACACACCATCGTTCTCCCTTCAATGATATAGGTTCTCCATATTCAGGTTTTCAAATTAATTCATTTTCCGTATTCTGGAACACTCCCTTTAAGCAATTTTTGGGGAAAAGTTAGGTTAATAGTGCTATTCTGTTGTTGTTATGGTTGATGTTTCCTCATCTGCTTGGTAAGATTTCTGTTGAGGACTTCATACTTAACAGACAGAGAAAACTGCCTCAAAACTGTCAGTATTTTGTGTTTTTCTGACATTAGGGCTAAGTAAGAGGTGAAGTTTGTTAATATTGCTTTGCAGTAATAATACTTTCTTATTTTGTTTTTTAAACTCATCTTTGGAATTTAAAATGTTCACAATGATTTATCTCAATAAAAACATTAATTTTTATAAATTAAAAAAAAGATTTATTTCTACATACGGAACTGGGGTGCAGGCCAGAGGTGCAGGGGTGGGGAGGGATTCACCAGAGACAGAGTGGGAAGCAGAGCAGGCAGATCGACGAAGTTCACTGCTGAGGGGAGCAGCGGGCGGGTCAGGAGAGGTCTGCTGCGCCATGTGGATCGCCACTGGGGAGCCAAGGATAGAACTCACATGGAGGCAGCTGCGGCTAGCTTGGAGTGCTGCATCCTAACCCGCTGCACCACCAGGGAGAGTCCCCTTTTAATAAATCTTTGACAATGAGAACTCTTTACATTCCTTAATAGTGCCCTTTTTAGTTCATATTCATATTTAGTTCATAGAAATGTCTTTTCTCCTGTTTGATGTGTTTTGTGTTTTTCTCTCAAGAACCTCTTTCAATTTTAAGATGCTCCTTTTCTTTGGCCTCTACTTCAGGAAACTTCTTGATCAATTTAATCTTGGTGGTAGTGGGAATGAAATAATAAAGTTAGTATTTTTTGTTTAGTTTCCCATGCTTAGTTTCCTCACAGGAGGACACCCCCCCACCTTGTCCCCAAAGCTGGGTGTCTCACTTTAGTGGTAGAATCAGAAGGGGCAGTTTACTCACTCCTAATCTGCACAGATAATAGATAATAATTTATTGTCTTACTAAAATCTATAGAGTCCTCCTTTATTCTGTTTTACAGATGTGTAGATTTTTCCTCCTCTTCTGAATTATCTTATTTTTTTTTTAAGATTTTTAAAGGGAATTTCAAGAGGGGGAATTTTTAATCAGTCTCACCTAAAAACTATGTCTGAAATTCAAGCCACTGAATTATTTTAAACACACACACACGCACACACACACACTTAGATCTATGTCAACACATTCAAATGCAAGGAAAGGGTTAAATTTCTTCCACAAGTGTCTGCAAAATCTGTAGACAAAAGAGGAACAGCCTGTGTTAAAGAAAGTTACAGTGTATATGGTCATTAAGGAGGAAGCTTCAGAGGGGTGGAAGAGGCTGCCGCCTCCTTCTACTATAACGAGCCCTAACGCCACAAGAGGACAAGTGGGATCCTCTCCAGACCTAAGTCCAACAGCAGAAGCAGGCAAGATGGACCTTGGATGGTGAGTGAGCGTTCTAATTATTCTTCACCAGGCAATTACGAGTTAAGTGACTTCAGTGGCAGGGTGAGGTTCGGGATGGTGCTCCATCTTTTGTCCTTCCTGCCCAAGAATGCTAATGTGTGTTAGGGTCCTATTTAACAGAAACCAAAAACAGGAACACCTGGGAACGAGGTTCGTACTGCAAAAGATTAACTGAAGTGCCAAAGGTTTTGCCTCTTGTTGGAGCATTCACTCCCGGTTGTTTTCTTAGCTCCAAAGTAGAGAAACCTGAAAAAAAGTCTCACCCAAGATGTGACTTCCTTGGGGTGCCAAAAGCTTCTTTTTTTTAAGTGATTTTATTTTATAATTTTTTTTAAATATTCAAATCTTGTGGTTTTTTATTTTAAGAATGAGAAAATTAAAATATCTGCATAAATAGGACAAGTGATAGGGAGTAAATTTTGTGTATATCTAGATTAGTTTGTCATTGGGATGAAGGAATAAGAGAGAAATTGAGAGTCCAAGGAAAAGGAAGAGGAAGAAGAGGTGTAAGAAAATGTAGAAGCCAGATGATGACTCATAAACTAGCCATGGGAGATTCTGAGCAGGGTGATATAGTGGAAAGAGGTAGAGTAATTCTATTAGCTACTGAGTTTTGAAAATGCTTGATATGCTGTGTACTTGTCTTATTTCACTGAATTTTAATCTTTTCAATGATTCTCATTCTATTTTATGGATGACATAATGGTAACTTAAAGAGGTTAAATAACTTACTTAAGTTTATAAGTTCATAACAAGTAGAGTTAAAATCTTTCTTGCTGCTTTGCTCTATATCACAAGGTTCCTCCACACTGTGGCAGGTCCCTATGGAATTTACTGGAAGAAGTCACACCCATCCTTCTCTTGGAAATGGCAACTGGAATCTATCACTAAATACTATTTTCTTTGAAAGTTGAAATAATCTTCACCCACCCCATGCTTACTGGCATGGGAAACAGTTTTGCTGATTTATTTCAGAAAACTAGAATTTAATTTTCAAGTAAAGGTTCCTTCTCCTTCCAGTGAAATTTTAGAATGTGCATATGTGTGAAAATAATTTACATTATTAAAACCCTAGGTAGGACCACTTAATTACCCTAATACTACAACATCTATACAACCACAGGCAAGTGTCTATATTGTTAAAATTCAACTTCAGGGAGTCTGAAATTTGATTCTGAACAGGAAATGAAAAATATAAATGGTCAGTAAATGTTTAGTCTCACCAGAGACAAAAGAAGTGTAAATTAAAACAGAGAAATATTTTTCTTTTATCAAAATGGCAATTTTTTTCTTTGATAAAGCAAGCCAGAGAGAACCCTACTAAGAATGGAGGAACATCTATACCCTTGCTACATGCTGATGACAAACAATCTTTTTGGTCAATAATTTGGTGATATAGATCAAAAGCCTTTAAATTGTACATGTCCTTTAACCAAACAGTTCAACTTTTGGGCATGTATCTGAAGAACATAATCATATATGTTTTTAAAGTTTTGGAGGAACTTATTCATGTATGTTTTTAACATATTCTTGCTGTTTCTAGTAGGGATAATCTTGAAACAACTTAAATGACTAAAAAAATTACTTAATTATAGAGCATTCATCATGGACTACTATGAGACTGTTAAAAGTTACCTTGTAGAACAATTCTTAATGTGTTTAGCTTAAGGAATAAACAGAATGTGCACTGCTACTAGTTTTATATGGGAAATCTATATGTACACAAGATTAATCAGATATGTAGATGATTTTTACTTTCTTCTTAGTCTTGAAAATAGATCACAATGTAGGTGAAAAAATAAAGCTAGATGTTTAAGAAAAAGAAACCAATAGCTGGCTTCTCTCTGAAAAGCCTATGACCACTCAAAATTTGTGGACTCTTAGTGTTAGAGATTGGACCTTTTTTGGCTTCTTGATTCCTCTTTAAAATGCTCACTCTACCCATAACTCACTTGATTTCAGTAGGCCTGCCTTCATAGACAGTTTTGTATAAGAGACCAGTGCATTCATTTCCTTATTTTATGGATGTGATGTCACACTCTAGAGTGACTTGTATGTTGGGAGTGCAATGCCATATGCTTCCGAACCAGACTCTGGGGTTTAAATCCCACTTCTTCCACTTTTTAGTGGTGTGATCTGCGTCAAGCTGCTTCATTGCTGACAGTAGGGATAATCATTTTATATCGTAACATGGTTGTGAGTGCCTAATGAAAGAATGCAGGAAGGGTGCTCACAACCTTGCTCTAGTGAGTACTTCATACGTATTAGTAGTGTTAGCTGTTTTTATTACTATCACTGCTAAAATGAAGAAATACAGGGGAAATGATTTGGCTATATATATATATATATCTAAAATGAAGAAATACAGGGGAAATGATTTGGCTATATATATATATATATGTATGTATATATATATATATGTATATATATACATATATATACACACAATTACTTGATGGTATAGCTAGAACTAGAATTCAGGAAGACTTTTTCCAGCATCAGTTTCCAATGCCCTTTGGGTCTGGCAGGACAAGCCTAAACTGGGCCCTCACAAAACCTAACCTGGAGCAGACCGAACCCAAAGATAAGGTCAGCCACTTCCAAAGAATGATTCTAGTCATACCAAGAAGGTGGAAAGGAGGGGGAAGCTAAGGAAACTTGAGCACTTTTAGGAGCAAGGATGAAGCTGGGATCTAGAGAAGCAAAGAACCAAAGAACAGATGACTCAGAGAGATTGCTGGGGTTTTTCTAGATCACCAGCTGTGGGCTTCACAAGGGATCATTGTGGTTTAAAGACCCACTGCCTGGATGATTAAATAGACAAATGGGGTCTAGGTGCGTGGGGTGGAGGATGAGAGTGATTGCAAGAAGTACTGCAAGAGAAGATGCCAGACAGTCATAATAGAGAATGGAATGAACAAGGATTTCCCAGTTCTCAGGGACCCAGTACTGATTGTCATAAGAACATTGCCTAAACTGAAAGCCTAAGCTGTAAATTTTATAAACAACTAAAGATCTGACAACAGTTGCTAAAAAAAATGTCTCCTGGTAGCACAGCCCAGGATTGATGAGGGGGTGACAAGGTGATCCTTTAGGAAACTATAGGAAAAATCCAAGTACAATTGTTGAAGACATGAAACCAGGGCAGTTATGTGTGGGATCGAAGAGGAGGGGATGCATTTGGAAGGTGACTGAACCCTAGGATTGGCAGGATTTGGCTTTGACAGATGTTGCACTTTGAAAGAAAGGTCTGATCACACCAAGACATCTTTCAAAAAATGGAGGACATAGGAAGTGGATTGGATTTGGGCCAGAGGGAGAGAAAAAACAGACTGAATTTTGGACTTCTCGTTTTCAGCACCGTGAGACAATGAATTTCTAACATTCAATATTCTGTACTTTGTTACCACAATAACCTCAAACCTACCAAATGTGGTGTGTGGACATAATACTTTGGTGAGAGCACATATAGCCAGAGAAAGAATCTGTGAATAAGTGCATCAGAAAGGTGTTGGGGAACCAAGAAAGGATTAGGTCACCTATGCTAAGAGGAAAGCAATATTTCCCAAACCAAATGGCATTCACAATGTCAAATTCTGCAGAAAGGTGAAGTAAGATAATGACTGAAATGTCAATCCAGAGGTCCTCAGTGACCTTTGCAAAGTCTTCCTAATTGAGTGGAGGTGGAGATCTTAGAAAACTGAAAAGTCAGAAGCTGCACAAATAGCTCCTTCCTGTCAATTTTGGTGGCGAATGGGGACCTCTTCACTAGACCAAACACAACTGCTGTCCTTAAAGAGCCACCTGGAAACATGGATGCAAATCAGCCAGACCTGAGCTTCCCTTCTCTGCTTTAATACCTAAACACAGGAGAAAAAGACCAGTACTTCCTGTCTACCCAAAACTGGTTTGGGAAGGATTCCAAGAAAAAAAAGAATCTTTCAGCCGTCATTTACATGTTGAAATTTTGGTTTTGACTCAGATACCAGTCCGCTGTATAAAGTGACAAGAGAGTTGTCATTTGAGCCTTCTCAAAGACAAAGCCTGAGATGAATCTGGTCGTGTAAAAAGGGAAACTAGCCCACATGGAATTTGGGGGCTCCCTTAGACTTTATATCAATAAGCAGAGTAAATAGGGTAGAACTGGAACATTGAAGTATTAAAGCATTTTATTAGAAGGCTTCAAAGTCAAAATGAGTCTAAAATTTGCTTTCTGTAGTCTCAACAATTTAAGTGTCACAGTTCTATATTATTGTGAATAAATTTTATTTACTAAACAATCTAGCACATACTAAACAATCTAGCACATATAAAAAAACCTGGTTTCAGGTTTATCATAACTAACCACTGTAAAACCTGAAATAAATAGCTACCAAAAAGATTATTTTAATCAGCACTCCATCTTAAAATGATTGTTAACCAGTTAAACAATAAATCTTTATCAAAAATCTGATAGTTTTAAGACACTGTGCAGAATACAGAAGAAATAACTGACATGTTATTTTTAGAGTCTGGTTGAAAATTAAAAAAATATATGAAATTACAAAAGCAATACAATGCAGGTAATAATTTAGTGATTTTTCAGAAATAAATATAAATAACAAAAATGTTCATTCTAACTAAAGAAATACTAATCAGAATGCCAATGAGATCTTTTCATTCATTAAACAGTAAGCAGCAAATAAACCAGTTAGAAAACTGACAAAAGATATAAAAAAAGCCATTTCCCCCAAATAGGCGATACAGATGACAAATAAGTACAACAAAAAAAGATATTCATCATTAAGCCACTATGAAAAGGAAAATTAAGCTGTAGTGGAATATTGCTATATTATACATGGCTAAGTGAAAAAATACTGGCAACTCCAAGTGTAGGCAGGACAAAGAAAAATGGAATCATTCATATATTATTGTTAGAAATGGAAAATGGTATATCCCCTCTATAGAAAAAATTGGGGTTTTCTAAACATCTCTTTACC